AATCATACCTGCTTTCATTACAAAGGAGCAGCAAAAAGCAAAAAGGAGCAATTGAAAAAGATATAATAAAAGTTAAAATAAACATATTAGAGCTAAAATAATTTGTGCAATATTTTACAAATATATATTGATGTCTGATAATTCTCTAGAACATAACATTCTTGTCAATTCATAAATATAGTGGAATTTATTGTTTGATATTTATTGTTTAATATTTATTGTTTAAAAGTACTCTACTAGTAAATAAGTCATAGCAACTTTATCAGTCTTAAATTTCAGATATAGCATTTTAATCATTTTATAACAATATATTTGAAACTCAATAATATATATATAATATATATATTTGAAACTCAATTATATATATATATATATATATCAAAATGGATTTGGCTTTTGAAATCTCAATGAGTTCATTTTGTATATTCTATTTATCCATAAACAAAAGATGTGTCTTTTATAATACAATTTTCCTTAATCAAAATAAAGTGTATTATAAATGTAAAACTAATTTTAAATCAGAATCATGAGCTTGAGGGGAATTCAATGTCTATGAAGATAAACAGATAGAAAAATACTTCAAAAGAACTTAAAAAAGAATATGCTGTTTATGAATATAATTAGAGCAGGTTATTACAGCATAAAATTGTATTCATAAAATTCATATCTAAACTTCATATGAAGCCCATTATTTGGAAATTAATTATGTATAAATGCATATGAGTAATAAACTTTATGACAAAAATATATGTATATAGATGAATATTGTATAAGATCATCTATACAAAAAATTAATCAATTTATACTTCAATTATTTATCTTCCCAGTCTTAAAAAATGGATTTATATTTACCAGTATCTTTTTCATAAAATCTCAGATAATGAGCACAAATTATTCCTTTATTTAATACGGGAAATATAAATCATAAGAGTTATGATTAAAATCAATGAAGGTCATTTTTTAATACTTTGAAAAATATAATTTAACACTGCTGAATGTTATGTATTTAAATGTTTCAAAGTTATTTGTCAACACAATTTAAGGATTATCTCATTATACTAACTACACAATTCTTAGTCTAATAAGTCATGCCTTTCATGTAGCACAATAGACTTGTCAATCACTGGATTCTATCAGTATATCAAAGTAAAATACTTTATGGAATTTTTGTACTATGTTAATTTTTAAACTCTTTCTACTTGGAATTATTGACTTTTTGTACATTGTACAATAGAGAAAGAATGAAAGTAGGAGATTTCCTACTTTATAAGAGAGCTTGACAAGTATTCCGTTTCTGTCTACCTTATTAGTAGGCCTTATTACATCAGATATGAAACAATCCAGTCTTCTCCATCTTAATATCTTTCTAATAATTTCCACTTCTTCTACCCACCTTGGCAGAAAAGCTCTTGTAACTATTAACAAAGAAGTAAATGAAGTCTTGCAGGTATGTATGACAACCTTGACCCATTTCTTACTAAAATCTCTCTTAATCACTCTTGCAAAATGATGTGCAGTGACATATATGTATTTTTTCCCAGCAGCATTTAACACTTTGTTCCTAAACTCTAGGAAAAAAATCCTAAATTACATGATCTCACTATTATTTTATTCCATTGACTCTGTAAGACCTTAATTATCAGAAAGATGATGGATGTAAATACATTTTCTTTTTATATCCCAGTTCCTGGTCCTTGATAGTTTTGGGATTCTTACTTCAGCAATCAAGAAGGATCCCTTAAACACCTTGACCCAGTACTTGCAGAACTGAGAAAATTTTGAAGAATATCACAAACAAAATTTTTTCGTGGAATATAGATAATGATTTTGAGTGCTATTGTCTCTACCCATTCACAAAATTCATTTATCTGTTCTACATGGGAAGTAGTAGAACACAAGATCTCCAGAGTAAATTGGGAGCATAGAGACCATGGAAGAAGGTTAAAGGGGAGGGGAGAGGCAGTGAGAGAAGCAGAGAAAAATGTAGAGCTCTATTAAATCAATAAAAAAAAGAAAAATTTATTCATCTGTTAATTCTCATAGACTCAGAATGCAAATTTTTGAGTCACAGTCATCTCATCTGTAATAGGCATATCTAATTATTAATTTGACATTCCATACTTCATGTGGCTGCCATTCTGCACACGAATCTGTCCTACAAAAGTATTCAACTGGAGAAAATAAGCTTACGAAGAAGCTAACAGTAATCTGGTCTATTAAATTAAGTCTAGTAGATAGGTCTTGTGAGTTTCCTCCCACAGTGTGGTTACAGTTGATTCTTTCCCTTTTTCCATTCTGTGACCTTTTTATAGAATTCACGTCTCATCACATGTACTTAGTCAGATGAATGTAAAGTGTGTAATGACTATACATCTTACGTACTACTTTTTTCCCTATAAGATGTGTGATACTTAATTTTATGACTTTTATGGACCATTTAGATACAATGCCCTTCCTAGAATTCTCTTGAGACATACATGTACAAATTCTTATTAAATGTACTTTTTTTTTCTAATTGCTAAAGGAAAGGAAACAGTTACTTTTGTCAAAGATGTCTTACATGAAACACACATATCTAGAAGTTAATTATTTCAAGTCTTTTTGGAAAGTTTCTTCTAGGGGAGCCATTTTATTATCCTATTTTGGGCTTCCTTGTTAATGTGGTCAAGGTAGCATGTTTGACAGGCACATGTCATTCTTGGGCTCTTTCCCTGTTGTCTAATGCAATAATTACTGCATTAAGTATGATCAGCTAAAGATTCCACTGTTTGCACAGATGAATCCTTGTCAGTACTTGCCAAAAGTACAACTTCAATACAAATCATATTATGAAAAAATAAAATCATAATTTTCTTCACTTTCGATCTCTGGTTTTCTATGAGCTGTCAAATTAAAAAGTTAACAAACTAAAAGAAAAAATAATTTTATAATGAGTATGTTACTTTAATTCTTGATCTGTGTACTGTTTGCAGACATATATGTTACTTATTTACTTATTTACCCATTTATGTCTACAATTCTATGAACACAACAATAAAAAGCATAGCTATATTTTATTTTTAAATATTTTATGATTATTAAATTATTAATAATTTAATCCTACATTTTATAGGGAAACTTTTTTGATAAATAAAACTATTATGGGGTACATTGTGATAATGTGATGCACGTATGTAATATACTCTGATGGAAATTTGCATTTTCATCTTCTTAAATATTTATCACTATTTTTGATTGAGATAATTCAAGCTCCTTTCTTGTAGGTTTTATACATAAAAAGTGCCAACTATTGTCTCTCTACAAGGATGTTGAAGACACCAGAACTTTACTGAAGTAACTGTGCATTTGTACCTATTAAAATTTTTATTTATCACTTCATATAAATCTTCATTGTTGTTTGAAATTAAACACAATATTTGACTAAAAATTCGCCATAATTTCACTTGACTATATAACTATTCTGAGGACTCTCGAAGTGGGATGTACTTTCGAGTCCTTGGTCAGCTACACTGATTCAGTTTGAGATCATATTTAATTCACCTTTGAGAGACATGCAAGGTATATAATTGCCACAAGCATACTATAACTGTAGAAGATGTTATTGGTATTTCAAATTCATAAGGACAAATAGATTGATAGGACATACTATATACAAACACTTTTACTTATGAAAATCAATCATTTCATTCATTTCCAAAGGTTAATATTCAAGCATATATATACCAACTACACTTGAAAAGAGACAGTCATTTAACCTTTAAAGTCATATGCATACATGAGTATAACTTACTTGATAACTCTTAAGAATATAATGTGGTGAGATGGGAATAAAAAATAATACTAAAATAAAAATTGTATTTCTGAAGAAGCCTAACTTATACATTTTAAAAACACAAGATCTGTGGTACTTGATAGTAAATATTAGCAACACTTTGCCACATTTTAATTACTTTTAAACTTTATAATCTGCATAATATAACTTAATTCAAAATTAATTTTATCAAATATCTTTCAACCTGAAAGTACTAGTGTTTAAAAATTGTCACATTGATGTCACCTTGAAATTATAAGGTAAGTGATATAGTCAAAGTGACTTTTTCTCCTTAATTGAAAAATATTGTGTCCTATTAAGGATGCTGTGTTACAGGTGAAATAAGCCAGGGTTTTATGAATCAAAATTTTGTTCTCATCATATATATATGATGTGTGTGTGTGTGTGTGTAGAGATAGAGATATTTCCAAATATAATATAATATATAAGAATAAATATATATTACAAACATATATTCCTCAACCAAATAATGATATCAAAAAGATGATAACTGAATATCCTTTTGAACTAGCATATGACCTGGATTTGTTGTCTTCATAGAATATATTTGAGAAGAATTTTAATAACTAGGTAATTTTATCAGCATATCAATTTGCAATGTATAATTATCATCAGATATCTTGATTGGTTTGTATTAAAAACAGATTAAAAGTTCCCTGATACATTTGACCCTTGTAGTATCTCCAGCTTTAGTTCTTAGCAAAATTGCATTTAAACTGTTTTTGCCTCAATGATTTTTCTTCCTACTCATTGATATGGGTCAAGCATGGGTGAGCTTGTCTTCAGCTGTAGAGAAACCTAAGTGGAACTGGAAAACAAGCTCCCAGTTGCTTGGCAGATAAGTCATCGTTGCAAATGTTTCTTCTCATCTCACCACGTTTTTTTTTTAGGCGGTTTTTCATCTGTCATTCTCATCTTCATTTCACTCCCTCTATCCGTCATCCCCTGTTCACTGGTACTGCCATAGCTGTCAAAGCAAGTTCTTCAAAGTGCCTAATAACTCAAGCTAATAATAGTGAAACTTCATTATGATATGCAACAATAATGCTTAGAAAATAGAAATGACATTTCAGTTTATTAAGTTTAATATTCATTACTAGTGAAATATACCACAGGAGTAAAAGGATCAGATAGTACTAATTTTCAGAAAGGATATCATCTTGCTTACCTTTAATAATGTTGGGCTTTGGGGGCATGTTGAACTCGTATACAGTGGGCTCAGAATACCCCAATCTGTTGGCAGCTGTGATTTGCACCTCGTAGCCCATTGTCCACTGCAGATGTTCCAGAATAATGTGGTCTTTATTCCCCTGCACCTTCTTCTCCAGCCACTGGTCTTCCTTATCTTTCTGTGAAAGGAGAAAAAAGAACGTTTGGAACAGAGTGCTATGAGAAGGTTGTATGTTAAACTTAAGTTTTTTGGAATAATGCAAACTGTTTGTTTTCTCAGTTTTCTAAAAATTGATACATGAAATTGCTAATTTAATGAATTCAGCATTGCTTGAATATTTTTCTACATAAAAATTAATATACTAGCTGAGGACTGATCATTTTGCAAATTAATCCTATGGTAATTTAATTCCACCTATTTAATTTTACTCTTAATTTATTACATAGAAACTTGGTTAACAATCACTTTTAGACTGATAATAGAAAAGATGAATCATGGAATAATTGTCAGAGACTATTATTAACATTTGTTGATGTGGATAACTATCTATGAAGTGAATCCTTTAAAGTATTTACAGGTGTATATTTTAAGTGGCATTTTTTGTTAAAAAACGCACAAGGAAATTATAGTAGACAAATTTTCAGTAATGTTTTCTAATGGTATTCTTTCCATGAACACTGAAATACCAAATATGGGTTGCTTTCTTGTTGTTTGGAGAAATTTTTTTTTTGTTTCTTTTCTTCTTTCTCTTCCTCTGGTGTTTCTTTCTCTCCCACCCTTCCTCAGTCAATCTCATCTATTACCTCAATCCTTATATATACACTATAGCCTCAATCTTACAGTAAAACTCAGCAAACTCACTGGGATTTTGTGGTTTTAGCAATAAGTCTTACAATATCCTGCTTAAAGTGCACCATGCCTGACTTATCTTATATATTATTATCTAAATATTATTTGATTCGTTCCGTAAAAATTTTAGAGCATTTGATATTTTAAAATATATCAAAACTACTATTCTTAAAGAAGAAAATAGTTTGTTAATGCTCTGAATGAAATTGTCTAAGGCAATATGATCATTGTGCTCCAGTATATTAACCTTTGAAAATATAAAAGTTCCTGATATACTAAGTTTTTCTATAAGACAGAGACCCACATGGGAGCACCGGACAGAAATCTCAAGGTCCAAATCAGGAGCAGAAGGAGACGGAGCACGAGCAAGGAACTCAGGACCACGAGGGGTGCACCCACACACTAAGACAATGGGGATGTTCTATTGCGATCTCACCAAGGCCAGCTGGCCTAGGTCTGAAAAAGCATGGGATAAATCCGGACTAGCTGAACATAGCGGACAATGAGGAATACTGAGAATTCAAGAACAATTGCAGTGGGTTTTTGATCCTACTGCACGTACTGGCTTTGTGGGAGCCTAGGCAGTTTGGATGCTCACCTTAGGAGACCTGGATAGAGGTGGGCAGTCCTTGGGCTTCCCACAGGTCAGGGAACTCTGATTGCTCTTCGAGCAGATGAGGGAGGGGGACTTGATCGGGGGAGGGGGAGGGAAATGGGAAGCGGTTGTGGGGACGAGGCAGAAATCCTTAATAAATAAATAAATTTAAATAAAAAAAAGATTCTCCTTAAACTTTAGTATTGTGTCTGTTGTTCAAAAGCCTGGCTATATATCCTTGTGTATTTGTCATGCTTACGCTGTCGCAAGTTGAATCTAGAAGAGGGCATTTGACCCTATGTAATTGCAGTTACAGGAGGTTACAGAAGAGTTCTGGTAACTAAACTCAGGTCCTCTGCAAGAATGTTACTAGTCATAGCTGCTATGATATTTCTCTAGTCTCCTGTATCAGATTTTTATAGTAATTTTTATTAATGTTTGGGTTGTATGAAGACAAGTTTGCATAAAGCTGTTGATATTTTCATGTCCCTGTATCAGTAGCATAACCCCCAATAGTCAGGCTAATCTATGAAATTATGGTCTGGGGCTACAGATAAATTGTAGTTTGTGAAGTCACATATGAAATCTTAGATTATGTCATCTGATAGCTATAGGATGTTCTTTTATGTATACACCCAAAACTGTAAGGAAATATAATATATAAGATTTTAGAGAGTTATATAGAGTTTCTAAATTCCCAATATAGAGTTTCTAAATTCCAATTTTCTGAAAATCAAGCATTTGACATACTATTCTCTTCTGAATTATAAATAATTTAACTCTTTCACGTAGTAAATTAAACCATTCATCCTTTTACAGTGATATTTTAAGGAATCATGGAGAGGATTAATATTTTTTGAATATAAATCAATTTCATTTCCCATTCAACTTCAGACAAGGAGATATTTTAATCCCCTAATTGTTATTCCTAGGGAATAGAAAAAATTTAAAGTGGGTGTAACTAAATACTCCCTTAGGCATGAGAATCTCAATTATGAATTTGTAGACTGCCTAATTTGCAGAAATATAGTACCCAGGGAATGATTTAAGATAACTAGTGGGAAAGTGTCCCTCTAGGTAACTTGATATGATTTGCTGAATAGGATTATCATTAATATGCCAATTAAATGGTGAAAGACAAGTTGTTTAAAAAAAATAGTCATGGAGCTTGAGCAAAGCTTTTATCGACCAATTCCTTTCTGTAAAGAAAATAGTAAGTCCTTGTGACAGTAGAGGCAGATCTTTAATTGTCAAGTTCATCCTAACACCAGCATTTAGGGGATCACTACCTTTGCTCTACAAAAAGGAATATCTTTGTATTGATAATGGAGCTTCTTTATGCCTTCATTCATGACAGGAAGTAACTCATTACCTTTCTAAAGACTTTATAGAAACTGTAGCAAACACAATCTTATATTAAAACAAAATATTTATAAAAGAAATGTCAATAGAAGAAATAATTATACCAATATGCATTTTGGTTGTTCTAACTCCTGTGATGTATGGTTTAAGGTTCATATGACCGAAAAGCAATTCTCATTGTCCCTGATTTCTTGACCACATAGCTAGATACCTACTGTTTGTATGTCCTTACATAAATAATAAAAATTCTTAAAAATTAGCTTTTTAATTAGCTATATTGAATGTAAAAATACTTGTCATTAATTCTGATATTTTTATATTATAGTACCATATTTAAATGAATAACTTTTTTGATTTTCAAGACAGGAATAACTTGAGTCAATATATTAGTTCATAGTTATATTATTTTTATGCAAAAAGCCTATTTTATAATAGCAAAACTAATATAAATAAAATGCATCTTCTTCTTTTACAACAAAAAGCATAAGGAAGATAAATACCTATATAGATAGCTATTTACTGAAAATATTTCAAAATATTCTTTTTGTCTTTAAATATATTTCATTACACATGCTAAAACCACTAGTAGCAATTCTTGTTTCCTAGTAATCAAAGCTCATTTTTATGTATTCACAGACTTGAGGCTTTAATAAATTAAATTTGTCTCTTATATTTAAATGTTGTATTTTATCTAGAGTCCAAATAGTTTAAAAAGGTCAACTGAAACTTTGAACTGTGTGCCCTAAACATTGTTGCTGTCCCAAAAGTACCTTCCACACAATTGATTTTAAATAATCAGTTTTCTTAAGTCAGGAGAGATTTAACATACTAACACTAACACTGACACTTTGAATAGTGCTTTTAATACTTTAAGTTTTTCCTAAAACATTCTTTCTTCCTAATTGGAGAGGGATAAAGGCAATATACTTTATAATATTATAACTTAGAGTAATGTGTGCTTCCTGGCTCATAAGCTACAAGCAATTATTCTCTTCCAGAATATCTACAATCTTGTCAATAGTCATTGAAATTAAAATTAAATGCATATATGCATTTGCCCACAAGACATCAGCTGGCAATAAGAAACATGTGGTCTAAGTTATATTGTTCCCATACATATCACAGTTGAAAGTTTAGCTCAAAGGAGCAATCTAGTTAACATTTTAGGGATGCTACTATTGATTCTTCACATAGGTTCGCAAGATTGAAACCTCAGAGAAAAGTCATTGTCCTGAATTGGCTGACAACTTGTATTATAGGAAAAGCAAATCCTTGGAGGATGTACTATACCCTAATGGGGGCAAATGTCCATTAGACTGAAGCAGCACACTGTAGATAAATCATCTTATAAGAAGTGCTGAGATCTCCTAAGGGTATGACAGATATTAGTAATTTGTCAGACTATCTTGCAAGATAGAAAAGTTCATATCAAGAACTCTAATATTGATAATTTTGCTAGATTTCTTTTTGAACTATTTGTAATGTGATCACCTAGATTAAACCACCCGTTTATGATTTTATCATTATTGGTATTATTATTTGTACATTAAGTTATATGGGATATGGGATTCTCCTCTGCATGCTGTAAATATATTTTATTACCATTGGTTAATAAAGAAGCCACTTTGGCCTATGGTAGGGTAGAGTAGATCTATGCAGGTAAACTAAACTGAATGCAGGGAGAAAGAAAGCAGTGTCAGGTAGATGTCATGTACTTGCCAAAGGAGAAAGATGCTGGATACTTACTGGTAGACCACAGTGATGATATGTAATTAATAGAAATGGGTTAATTTGAAATGTAAGAACTAGCTAGAAATATGCCTGACCATCAGCTAAACAATGTTGTAATTAAATAGTTTCTGTGTGATTATTTGGGTCTGGGAGTCTGGAAAATTAAAGCACAGCCTCCGTTTACATATGTGGCTGACCATACCTACTTAGGAAACTGGAGACCTCATATTTGTTCAAAAACTCTTTGTACGTTAACAATTTTCCAGACTTCTTCAGCTGCTTTTTTTCCCATGGTGATGATACAATTAAATATACATAGCAAGACATGACAGTAGAAATAGAACTATATGCAAAAAGGAAAGTGACCCAGGAAAGAAGAAAAGGAAAAAAGAAAATGATGATGGTCAATGATGGTCAACGATGGTCAATGATGGTCAAGTACACTATATCCATTGCTGAACATGTTACAGCATCACCAATTAATTACATGGTTAATATAAACTAATACAGTCTGAGACTGTGCCAAACGTAGCTGCACTGTACAACTCAGGTAGCCCGGGAAACAAACATATTGATAGTGAATTTGCAGAAATGAACAGAGGATATAGTATTTGCAGAAATTCTTATGTGGATAAAATTTC